CAGTGAGCTACATCTTGAGCGACAAGGTTGGTCTGAGGGCCGAGTTTAGTGCTGTTGGCCGACCTGCTGGCCAGCACCTGCTCACATGGCCTTGACTTGTCACCGGCAGCTCACGTGGACTGGCCTACTGAACCCCTCCCTTTAATGGGCAGGCCAGACGTCCTCACAGCTCAGTTGGGATCCTTTTTCTCTCCTTTTTCAACACTGTAGTTTGCCTAGAGTCACCCAGCTGGTATGGAGAACCCCCAAGTAATGGGGGCGTCTGGCGAGAAGAGACTAGATCTATGTTTTTTGGCTGAGAAACTACGTAAACCAAAGCTAACTTGGAAAGGCAGCATATAAAGATACAAGCAGAGTTGCTCTAGATCAGCGGTTCTCAACCTTCCTAATGCCGCGACCCCTTAATACAGTTCCTCACGTTGTGGTGACCCCCAACCATCAAATTATTTTTGTTGCTACTCTATAACTGTAATTTTGCTACTGTTATGAATCGTAAATATCTTTTTGTTTTCCGATGGTATTAGGCAACCCCTGTGAAAGGGTCGTTCGACCCCCAAAGGGGTCGCGACCTACAGGTTGAGAACCGCTGCTCTAGATGGAAAAGGTGGGGAACCCCACTCCCACCCTGTCAGAGAGAAAGCTACTCTGAACAGTTTGAAAAACACTGGACTCAGGTATGAGGTCAAGTATTAGAATAGGAAATTGGGGAGACAAACCCATGTGCCTAGGTTGGGGCACAGAACAGAGGACACTGGTCAGACAGACACAGAAGATACATGCTTATATTATAAAAATGATTGGTCTTAGAGAAGACACTAAATTTTTGTCACACAGTAGGACCATTCTACACAAAGTTGAAAGTGGTCAAACTGAAGCTTATGAGAATACTTAAAAAAATATTTTTAATACCTTTCCCTGTCCTAACTATGTTGAACATAATATAGCAACATTACTAATTTTAGGTCCACTCCTTTGGAAAGTTTTGGAATGTGACCTGTGCCTTTCACACTTCGAGATGGTAAATTATGTTCTCCTTGAAGAACGTTTCAATATTTAAAAAATATGTTTCATCTACTTAGAAGAAATATTAAGCCACACTTGTTAACACCAAAACTCACTGTTGGCTCTTTTCCTGCTGTGTCGAAAAACCACCAACATCAAGTTACCAAATTCAAGATGCCACTTCCTTTCGTTTTCAGGGTAGGATGCTTTCTTACAAACTTCAAACCAAGGTTTCTATTTTTTAGACACAGTATTTAATACTCCATCCAATATGAGCATTGTGTTACGCCGCTGTTGTGTCGAGTCAGCGTTTCATGACTCCGCGATCACTGTTGGATAATCAGCGGCAGCGCTGTGGAAAACATCCATGGGCTGTGCTCTGGGTTTGAGTCATCCTGCCTCTGCCACTTGCCAGTCGGGTTAACCAGGGCAAATGAACATCTTGGGTTAGCCTAACAATTAGTTTCTTCACATCTGAATTGCAAGGCTGTCAAGAGTTAAGTGAGTCCCTGTGTAAAACCTTTGTACCTTCCAGAAAGACAGCGATGCGTCCCATCCCAAGGCTTATTTGCTGTCCTTCCTGTGCATAACACTTACACCGTAAGCTTGGATAATACTGATAAACCACTTACTCTACTAAAAGAAGTAGATGCAAGCTGCCTTTTACGTGTGAGGTAGAAGAGTGAGTGACTAAGAAGGGAGATGGTTTGCCCAGAAAGGTGGAAGTTTCTTGTGACATATACAAATTAATCCAAAATCCTTTCTGAAGCTGTGACTAGTTTTAAAAATTATTTGCAAACGTTCACTTCCAGCCACAATGGAATGATAGGACTGGATTTACTCTCCCACCTTAAAAAATGAGAAAACCAGGCAAAATGTACGAAATAAGTTTTTAGATAATGGACAAGGAACCCAGGACAGTGGTCCCTGAGGGAAAGGAACAAATTAAGCTACGCACTTGGCTCTGTGTTCAGGCTACAGCAGAGGAAGGTTCTGGAATCCTCAGTATCATCTTGATGGTTGTACTGTGGTGATGTAGGCAGACACTCCCATTCTTAGGCAGTATACACCTAAGTATTTATTTAGGGGCAGAAGGGTAACTTTCGAACAGCTCAAGAAAAAAAATGTCACGTGGAGATGGATATAAATATACATATAAAATACATAAACATTTATGAGATAAAATGATAAAACATGAAAAAACATTGACATTTAGGAAATCAGGGTGAAGGGAATTTGGGAATTCTTTGTGTTAGTTTTGCGACTTTCCTCTAAGTCTGGAAGTGTTTCAAAATTTAAAAAAATATTCCAAGCCTGGAGCTAGCAGCTATTAATGTAGGAAACCTCAGCCAACCATTTCTACACCTTAAAATGCTGCTCAACTAAACTCAAACATGATGCAAAAAACTGGGACTTACTTTATAGATTTTATTTTGTAGCAGGGATAATAAACAGCATGTATGTATGTATGTATGTATGTATGTATGACTTATGACATTCAAAAATACATGAATCCTGTGCATTTTTAAATTTAAGATTTCATCTGTGAAAAATTAAAAGTCTGTTCTAAAAACTTCACTGAAGCTGAGTATATTTACATTATACAATGTGTATATCTATATTTAATCACATAATAGTTGCTGCCTGTATAAAAACTGGAAATTATAGGTAAGCAAAGTCTAATAATAATTTCACCAATCAGAGAGAAACCCGGCTCATCGATGGTCTATGTGTGTATGATGTAAATAGTTTACATACCACTAACAACTGGTGACGTCAATTTTGCAGGCTTTTTGAAAAGTGGTTTTGGAGTGAACAGAATGCAATTCGACTTATTTTCGAAGCCATTGCTACGCTGCCAATACTCTCAGGGTACTTCGTAGGAAATTCCTTAATAACAAATAATACACCCTGTACTGTGTATGTGTTGGTATGGTTTTGACAATGCCAGGTTTGGAGAATGATGGTCCTTTTCATAAAGCTGGCACTTGATAGGAACTGGCTTCTTTATCCTAACAGCCCTGTGATGTGACAGCATCATCCCCACTTTCAGGTAAGGAAACAGATGCGTAAACAAGTTAAATGACGCACTTTACGGCCACAGCATTCAGTGGTGAAACCTGGAGTTGGCTCAGACTTCTTTTCCTCAGGAAAGTCAAACTTAGTGTCTGATGCTGAAATATTTTTAATGATGTCAAATTGGAAAAAAATAATTACACACATTTATACATTCTCATGTCCTGGGTATATTTTTCTTTACTTACATTTTATCATTATGAGAGATGTCAAAATTCAAAGGCATGTATTAAAAAATATTTTAGTTACGACTGGATAAAATTCACAATGCTACACTAGATAAACAGGTTGAAATGCACGAAAATAATGTGTAAATTCTGAGTATTTGGCATCAGGCGACCGTTAAAAGCAACGATAGTATATAAATACCAAGGGGTTGTTAAAACAATAGCAAACAAAATTTATCAGGCCCTTCGTTAAAAAACAAACCAACCAAAACCTTAAAAGTGTTAAAAATATCAGACTGCATCCTGATATTAAACTTGTGCTATCTATGTGTCAATATATCAATTATCTGAGCTGGGGCTACATGATTGAATTTCTTGAGTTTGACAAATCAACAAAAAATTGTGATCTGTGAAGAGGCCACCTCATTGTTGCTTCAATGTGCAAGTCCGAGACTTGAAAAGTAATCAACGTTGGAGATACAGGAAAAAGGAAAGGTGTACATGCACCTTTTCTGTGTTGTTATTCTCTAAAGACTTTCTTCCCTAGGTCTATGCTGCCTGCCTATTTATCTGACCTGTTCACCTCTGGATGTGTAACACTTTAATGTCTTATATTCAAATGATCCCATCTATTGAGGTTTTTCTTTTATTAGAAAACATGTAACTTATAATTGCTACTTTATAATTTTTAAAGTTACTTTCCAGGGAATACCCCTTTCTCCAGAATCAAATATTAGTTTTGGATTTAATCAATTCCTTATATTATAATTGGTATTGAAGGGGTTACTTTTCCTAAATTCCATTGATGTACAAATGTTATGCTAATATTACAAAGCAACTGTCGTAAGAAATTCAAGTAAAATATAAGCATGGCTGATAGAAAAGACAAAAACAGCACCATTCTTTTAGTTATTTTAAAAACGTTTTAAAATTATAAATACAATATACATGCTTAGTTTAAAAGAATTCAAATATACAGGAGTATAAAGTAAAAGGTAAAAGTCCCTTTACCTTACCTAACTTCTAGCCCCACTTTCTATAGCTGTAGTCAAATATGGAAGCCACTAGAGATAGGTGGCTATTTAAAACTAAAATAAAAAATTCAGTGCCTCACACTAGCTGTATTTCAACTGCTCACTCATCACATGGTGTTGAGGCTATCATATTGGAGACTGCAGACATAGAACATTTCCACAGTAACAGAAAGTCCAGTGGACTCTTGATTGGTTACTGTTCTACAGGAACCATAATTCTGCATTAGCGTGTCTTCTTACTGAGTTATAAGACTTCTTTACATGTTATGGTGCAAGTCCCTTATCAGGTACGATTTTCAAAAATTTTCTCCCGTTCTGTGGGTTGTCTTTTCACTTTCTTGACAGTATCCTTTAAAAAACAAACATTAAATTTTGAAGAAGTCCAACCTATTGTTTTCCTTTTTTGCTTGTGCTTTTGGTGTTGCATTTAAGAAACCATTGCTTAGCCCAAGGTCACAAATATTTACTTGTTTTCTTGTAAGTTTTATAGTTTCAGCTCTTATATTTAGGTATATGAACCATTTTTAATTAAAATTTGTATATGGTATAAGGCAGGGGTCCTTTTAACATGTGGCTATCCAGTTGTTTTAGGGCTGTTCATTGAAATTCTCTTTCTCCACTGAACGGTATTGGTATCCTTGTCAAAAAAAGCAATTAATCATAAATGTATAGGTTTATTTCTGGATTCTAAGTTATATTTTACATTCCTTTGATCCATGTCTATCTTTATACCAGTACCGCACTGTTTTGATCACTGTAGCTTTGCAGTAAGTTTTGGAATTGGTTAAGTTTGAGTCTTTCAACTTTTTTCAAGATTGTTTTGGCTATTGTGGGTCCCTTGCATTTTCATATGAATTTTATCATCAGCTTGTTAATTTCTGCAAAAATGCCAGCTGAGATTTTGATGGGAATTGCATTGCATCTGTATACCAATTTGGGGAACGCTGCCATTAAACAATCCATGAACAAAAATGTCTTTCCATTTAGTTAGGTCTTTTAAAATTTATTTCAAATATGTTTTGTAGTTTTGTTTCATCTTTATGCTATTGTAAATAAATAGAATAAAAAACAATCTCAATTTCACAATGTTCATTGCTAATATAGAAATGAAACTGATTTTTGTGTATTGATCTTGTATGAACTCATTTTTGAACCTTTTGAACTCATTTGTTTTTAAATGAATTCCTTAGTATTTTATTATAACAAGACATGACTTCTGTGAATACATATAGTTAACTCTTCTTTTCCAGTATGGCTGCTTTTTATTTCTTTCTCCTGCCTAATTGCCATGGCTAGACTCTCAAGTACAATGTCGAATAGAAGCGGTGAGAGGGAATATCCTTGTCTTGTTCCTGTTCTTAGCATTCAGTCTGTCGCCATGAAGTAGGATGTTAGGTGTGGGTTTTTCGTAGATGCCCTTTATCATGTTGAGGGAATTACCTTTTATTCATAGCTTGTTGAATACTTTTTGTCATGAAAAGGTGCTGAATTTTATCAAATGCTTTTTCTGCATCTATTAAAACAATCGTGTGATAATTTTGTCCTTTATGAACACAGTACAGCTGATATTACTCACAATTTTAAATTTGTGAATTTGCCAACTTATTTGTAATCCCCAAATCAATATTCATAGCACTTTTATGATCATTCATGGAAATGTGCAGACCGGTGAAGATTTTGAGTTCCCTGATGTGCATATTCTCAGCTGAGGTCGAACCAAGGCAGTATTTTGCCTTCTTGTTTCTACTCTCCTACAGAGATGACCAGAGGATGGAGAAGGCAGGGGACAGGGCAGCATAGTGCAAGCTCTGGCTCTGGGGACAGTTGGACAGGTTTGAACCCCAACTCTGGCACCTGTTAGTGGGATGGCCTCAGGCAAGTCACTTAATACATCTGAACCTCATTTTCTCTTTTGTAAAATGAAAACAGAATATACCAGAGGTAAATTGTTTTTAGGATTTAAGATTATAATCTGTTTGACATACACACACACACACTTACTTCCCCTAGGAGCTATGGCTCTGTATTCACTAATTCATATTATTGGTGACTTTATAACTACTGTGAATAATGGGAAAAATTTGCATGTTATATTGATTGTTGGTTGTTAAACCAACCTTGCATTCCTGGGTTAAATCTCACTTGGTCGTGGTGTATAACCCTTTTTATATGTAGCTCGATTTAGTTTGCTAGTATTTTGTTGATGATTTTTGTATCTATATCCATAATAGAAATTGGTCTGTAATTTTCTTGTCCTGTCTTTGTCTGGCTTTGGGAAGATTTGTATGGGAGTGGTGTTAATTCTTTAAATGTTTGGTAGAGTACAGCAGCGAAGGCATTTGGGCCTGGGATTTTCTTTGTCGGATATTTTCAAATTACTAATTCAATATTTTTTGTTGTTGTCATTGACAACCACCTTTTGAACTTGCTTTTAGGTAGAAGGTGATAAGATTATCTCCTAAGGCCAGTAAAATTCAATAAGAAAATACATGTTATCAAAGAAGACATGTCCAATATTTGGAAGATTCAGGTGGGCAGCTACCAAGATTATCCAGTGCAAAATTATCCTGCTATCTAGCTTTACCATAAACATTTCATCACTTCTCATGTGCTTTCATGACCTTAGAACAAGAAATTACATCTATATACAAACCTCTTAACTGACATTTGTATCAAAGTCCTGTAACTACAAATTAAAGTTTGTACATTTCTAGATTACGTACAGACATGCATATTTACATATCTATCTTTAAATCTATCTACAAATAATACTGGTCTCAGAACCTGTCAAGAAGGTGGTGTGTAGTGGAATAAACACTAGAAATCTGGAGGGAGGTATTAATGCCAGGTCTAACTTAAACAAGATACCTCAATCTGTTTCTTTTGCTGATAAAATTAGGTTAAGCCTGATGATCACCAAGATTCTTTTTCTGGTTCTAAAAATACAACGACTTATTCTACAAGAATGCCATTCCCACTGTTCTTAGAGTGGTCAAAATGAAAATAAGTTTGTTATATAGAAATAAACATATACACATCCATACCTCAGTCTTACAGAACAAACCAGCCAATTGACAAAATCTTAAAAGAGAAAGGAGGAAGTCTGTGGTTAACAAAAACAACTTCAACATTTCAGTGTCCTGAGATTGCCATGAACCAGCTGTTATTACGATAACTTTCAAAAACAAGGAGGTCACTTTTCAGAAATTCTGAGCCCATCAGAGAAGTTGAATGGTATTTCATCAGTTGTCTCAACGGGCACATTACTTCTACCAAATTGACATGAATAATGGTGAGTATGATGACTTGAAATGAACGCATTTGCAGTCCGGCTGCAATGACAACTGTCTGATGGCATGACATTACTTGAATTGTCAAGATGTGAGTGGTAAACACCCAGGAATGAGTCTTGAGATGAGTGGTAATGTCCAGTTCCTGCTGAGGTGGATGCTGAGCTCTGGTAAGGGCCATTGCACATAATACAAGTCTGAAAGCAGGTGTTCCTTCCTAAACCTCGATGAATGTCTAGTTTAGCAATGAGAGGTTTCCCAACATTCACTTCTTGCTTTTCTTCTACGGTATCTTCCAATCCTGAGTACTGATACGATAAACATACTGTGAAGATTAGATGTTCCTGAAAAGGAAAAGGTTTGTTATTTTTATCAACTGTGAAAGTATAGCAATCTTAAAATATCACACAAGTGCAGAAAAAACCAAACAACAGTGAAAATTCACTCTTATTCCCCTCTCCCAGGTTCCAAAGCCTCAAGGTACCTTTATACTGTCCCTACACTAAGAAAGGCTGGCTACAGTCGTCTTCTTGCTCCCTCATTCAATACTTTGAATTAGTATAATTCTAGTCCTTACTACGAAGTAGTCAAAATCAGAGATCTTGTATTGTATTCCTGATAAACAGTGAAACGGTGTTTTCCAAACAGTGGGGCTCGGGAAACATACGCTTCTCTATTATTGGAGATGAGAAATGATCCTGTAATGGAAGAATAATCTGGCTTTACACCTAGGTCAACATATTAGCTGTTTTTTAAATATTATGAAATAATAATCCACGGTCATAGGTGAAGAAGTATAGCTGACTAAGAGAATGGGCTGAAATTCAAAGATAAAAGAAGACTGTAAGCAGATGAGCTGTGAACAAGATGACAATGAGTTTATGTCTGTTGTCCTTATGTAATTGTCAACAGTGCCCATTTCATCCCCCAAGTTTTGGTTAATACCTATTCTATGGTCATGCAGCTGTACATAGATTAAAAACTCAGATTTGGCAAGGATATGCTTTTATTAGAAAGCTCAACCATATAGAGATGGCTTCTAATTTATAAGTCAACGAGAAACGAAAAAAGAACAAAATAACTCACAGGGGCTGGCCGAGTGGCTCAGTTGGTTAAGAGCGCGAGCTCTGAGCAACAGGGTCGCCAGTTCCATTCCCACATGGGCCAGTGAGCTGCGCCCGAGCTGAGCTGCTGCTGAGCTGCCAACAGGTGGCAGGATGGCTCAGCTGGTGAGAGCACGTGCTCCTAACAACAAGGTTGTCGGTTCAACTCCCGCATGAGATGGTGGGCTATGCCCACCTGCAACTAAGACTGAACACGGCAACCTTGAGCTGAGCGGCCACCAGCTGCCAACGGGTGATGGAATGGCAACTGGGCTTGGAGCTGAGCTAGTGCGCCCTCCACAACTAAGATTGAAGGACAACAACTTGGCTGTTCCCCTTCCCGAATTCCCAATTCCCCAACACTCCTCCCCTAGCCCAATAAAATCTTTAATCAATCAATCAATCAATCAATCAATCAATCAATCAATCAATTCCAGTTGTAATTTGCTATTTGTTTTGTAGAATGTCATAGAACTAGGAAATGATTATTTGAAAATGCTAAGATATTAAAAAGCAGACTATGCTCTAAGTCTCTAACGTTTTACCAACATAGAAGGTAATCACAAATACTCTCATGCAAAAAATCTCAGGCCATGATCAACAACAGAATAGAATATGAAGAGGGTCGCTGCTAAGACTCACTGTAGATCAGTTATCTGTACTTCAACTTCATACCCAGTGAAGCAGCACATCCTCGGAATAATACAAGGTTCACATGCCAAAATAAATTTTCGCTTTCATAAAGTTTCCCGTTAGTAGTTATAAACAGGAGAAGTAATAACCTTTAATTTTTGCAGTGAGCTGAGTCTGGTGTAGAGGCAATGCTTGGGAAGATCCTTGGATACTAAATAGCTGCCCGTTTCTTCAGGTGTTCCTTTATTTGCATCTTTTGGATCAATATCTAGGTCCTGTGAAAATCAGTAAATGTTATTAATGAAATCAATGAAAGTCACAACGTCTGTGACAATAAAATATCTTAACAGGTCTTGCTCTCCCATGAATTCTGGCCTGAGGAGGTCATCATTTATTCAGGACTAAAGAAACAATGAAAACAACATTCTGGGCTAGTAATAGGAATTTTAAATTCTGCGTTGATACATTTAAAAAGCTCTGAAAGAATAGTTACTTTCAAACTATCCCTAGAAACACTTCTCAACCTACTCAAGATTCGAGTTTGAGCCCCATTAGTGTTTGAGTCCTGGAATCTCTTCCTTATGCATCACTTTCGGGAAGGTGCAGGGGGATTTCTATGATTCATATATTTAAGAGGAATCAGTGGATGTGCCAAAGGCAGCCCTTCCCTTTTCTTCTTCTAGAGCCAAGCCCTGGCTAAGAACAGATCTGTTCTGCTCCTCCAGAGAGAAGCCCTCAGGCTCTCCCTGTCCAATGTCCAGGCAGGCCTATACTGGTCCAGAGCTACCAGGACTGGTGGGCAGACTTGTCTAACTCTGGGGTTCAGCGCTGGACCATGTGCTCTCACAATAAGCAATGTCCTCCATGAAGCCTTTATCAGCAAAGGTGATGTTTCGGATTTGTTTGTCTTACTCCTTGCTTACTTCTCAATTTACTGCACCTACAAGTATGTAGGAAACAGGAGTCTATTTATTGACTTCTTTAGGCCAACATGAATACTGTATCTAAATGCTTGGAAGGAACAGAAAAGATTTCTCTTCTTCTAATATACTACTGTAACTTGACACAAAAGACTTCTACTATTGTAATAACTCATATTGGAAAAAATAGCTTTTAAATAGAAATTATTCTTCACACATGTATAGCACATTTTATTCCTTCACATACGATGTCCAATTTAGGGTATGGGAAATTAAAGGTTTCTTTCCTGGGTGAACTTTAGACATTTCTAAATTTGACAAATTTAAGGTATGTTGGCAATTAGTTTTTAAATATTTTGCTACTAAAATACAAATAAGTATTTATGTGTTATATATACATATACAGATTTCTTTTGTATTTACCATCAACTTTAAGTTTTCCAAAATTTAGTCTTTAATAAATGAGAATATATCATTATACTTTAAATAAAAGAAAAAGGGAGACTACACTTACAAGTGGAAAATCGGTAACATAGGCATCGCACATTATTATATCAGGTGGCTTGTGGACTATGCTTGTATAGATTATCATAACGTTGGAAAACTCAGCTGCAAATCCTAGTTGAATCTGAACACCACACTGAAATTTAAGACACATGCTTTCTGGAAGTTCTGAAAAAGAACAGTAAGAACAACTTATAAATAATTATTTAAAGAATGTTTGGTAAGTTTTCTGAATACAAGGAGCAAGCAAATACTGCTTATGAGACAAAATACACAGAGCTTTTTCTTTTGCTTAAAAATGTTATAGAACTGGGCTGGCTGAGTGGTGCGTTGGTTAAGAGCTGGCTTGGGACGCCAGCTCTGAGCAGCAGGGCCCTGGTTCGGATGCCACATGGGGCCAGTGACACTGCCCTCTACAGCTAAGATGCTGAACAACAGCTCGACCTGGAGCTGGGATGCCATGAGTTGCTGGCAACAGCGTAGGCAGCAGCCCCTGCTGCAGTGGGCTGCCATAAGCTACCGTGAGTGGCTGGCAGCCAGCATGAGCGGCTGGCAGCCGGTGTGAGCTGCCAAGAGCTGCCGTGAGCGGCCGTCCAGAGGTCGGTGACTGATCTGCCTCACCCAGGAAGAACACAATGATAATACCAACATGGGCCAATGAAGCAACGTCCTCCACAACTCTATACTGAAGAACAAAACCACAGCAACTTGTCTGTTCCCCTTCCCCCGATTCCCCAGCACTATTCCCCTCCCCCAATTCCCCAATAAAATCTTAAAAAAAAAAAAAGTTATACAACTAATGTTATTTAAAGACTCTCTTGATCTCGCTCAAGAGTTTGAGCTCTGGGCAACAGCGGTTCGAGTCCTGGCCGGAGCTGAGGAGCCACTGAGCTGCCAACAGGTGGCAGGATGGCTCAGCTAAAAAAAAAAAAAAAAAATTCATGAAAAAAATAAAGACTCTCTCTAAAAGAAAAAAAGGTGTGTGTGTGGGGGAAAAGCCCAATATTCTGCTAGTCAAGCAAATAAAAATCTTTCATTTATTGTTTTCTTATGGTTCTTGTTGCTACACATACATAATTTTTACAATGGTAATCAAAAGTATATATACAACTGCAGATATATTTTCCCTGTTTCTGCAATCTCCATGAAAATAGTTTTTCATAAAGCACAATGTCACTCAATGGTTTGTTACCTTTAACAATTCTGCTACTGTTGAATATAATATGTCTGGGTTTTGTTTTTATATCATAATCAGTATTTCTTATATATACTTAATGCTTTAGGATGGTTGGATATAGCTATTTGATGGTTCCTCACAATTGTGACAGCTTTCCATTTATGTAGAATATACTAATTATCTACTTATCAAATTTGTTACAAACACTTTCTATCTGACCTTTTAGTTTCATTTTATAAAATTACTGTTTATCTTTACCACTATTTTGTTATTGTTGTTTAGAGGTTTTTTAAAGGAAAAGAATCAATTTCAATTACTTATCCAATTATCTGGAATGCCAAGAGAATATGTTCATGGCATCTTACATTTTAATGTGCTTTAATATGTTAGTTTACCAAAAATACATCCTTTCATATATTATGAAAAGAAAGATATTATACAGGAGTTCAATAAATATAATTATTTTCAGTTATCTATAATAAGGGAGACACAGCATAGACATTTGGGGCTCATACAAAATCCAAAATCTTTGTTTTAGTCAATAATTTAAACTTATGTTTTCACTAAATCACACAGAATTACCAAAGGTACTTAAGTTACAGATATGAATTCCACCTGCTCCTCTCTTTACCACCAACCCACTGATTCAAGTGTTGAAGACAGAATGCTCAGTATATTTACGAGCATACAAGGAATAGTATTTGCTGACCACCACGCTTTTCCCTTTACATGTGTGATCTCATTCAGTACCAACAACCCTATCAAATGAGTACTATTTCTTCTCCCCCTTTTATAGATAATATGTTTATCAAGTGGTAGATATAGGATCCGAACCCAGGCCTGTCTGATTTTTGAACTAGAACACTTCAACAGCTCACAATGCAGGAGAATCTATGGGACTCAGCCTTAGAAAAATTGAAAGTCATTTTAAAAATGATCATATTTGAATTTTACCAATGCTGAAAATAATGAGTTAAATAGATTAACATTCCCAACATCAAATAAATCAGTGTAATTATCTATAACT